TACTTTGTGGGGTCTGCCACGCCTCCTTCTGCCTGTTACATACATTTTAACAAAACCATTATACCCTGATTTCCCATTTTCAATGGGTTCAGGGTATAAAAAGATCTTCGGCTAGTTGTATAAGCTCTATATTATTATAGCTACTATAGCTACAAACTCTTAGATAATGACTAACTTAAATCCCTATATGTTGTTATATGTTGTTACTTGTCTAATATTAAAAGATCATATAAAAGTCTACACACAAGTTGATCGAAATAAACCAAATTGAATAATTTTTGCTATTTACTCTCTGGAAGTGAAGATGAAGGAAAACAGTGAAGCATTCCGAAGAATTGACTTTCTCTTGCTTGAATATTATATAGTATTTGGTTATATTGGTAAGAGCGGGAACGTCTACTCTTTGCACTCGGTCTCCAAGTGACACTGTGATACATCACTCTCTCGCTCTCTATTCGCTTATAGCGTCCACCTTACGTTCCTTTCCTAAATCAAGGCATTGTTTGACAATAATGATAAGACCAAATTCATCCAATAAACTTAGTGAATCTGTTCAAAAAGCTTTATGGCAACTAGATGGAAACAACTGACGAAAAAGGTCTAAGACATTACTAAGGTACTCCAAAACCTAAATGGATAAGAAAATTTAAGATTTTCAGCCAACTCTATGCATATAAAACTAGATTAGGTCTTCCAGATATAGTTAGCGTCGTTATAATCGGATTCTACTGTATAATATATAGTAATATAATATATGGAATATATCTCAATAAGTCTAAACTTTGATCTCTTTTAATGTCCACTCACCTGCAATAGGGCTGGAATGCTTGAGGCTCGTGACAAGGCATGATGACTGAGCGTATCTGTTTGCTCCGTTTTGATGGATGCGCCGAGACTGGGACTGGCGGGCAGTGAATTGGACCCACTGCCAAAGCCATTGAGTGGATTATGTGGCTGTTGTTGTTGCTGTTGATGGTGGTGCTGCTGCTGTTGTTGTTGCTGTTGTTGATGCTGTTGCAGGTGTTGCTGTTGCTGCTGTTGATGATGCTGTTGCTGCAATCTCTGATGTTGCTGCTGCTGCTGTTGCTGTTGCTGCTGTTGCTGACTGACGACGGCAGCAGCTGCCGCTGCGGCAGCCGCCTGATCCGGACTCAACAGCGGACTGAGCATCGAATTGGGCAGCGTGTAGGAGCATTGATAGGTGGAGCGACCGCCGCGTGTGCGATCCTCGCGTATGGCCTCCAGTTTCATGCCCTTCTGCAGGCACTTCTCGAACCGGCAGGCCGGGCACTTCTTGCGCGTCGAGATGCTCACCTGGCAGGGGCCGCCGCGCACGCACACATAGTTCTTGCGATTCTGGACGGTGCGCTTGAAGAAGCCCTTGCACGACTCGCAGGAGAAGATGCCGTAATGGAAGCCGCTGATCTTATCACCGCAAATCGGACAGGGCGAATTGATGAGCTGCTGCCGCGAGATGCCCGCCGGCGAGGCTGGCAGCGTGGCCGAGCTGTCCAGGGCGCTGCTGCTGCTGTTGCCGTCCATGCTGAGATTTTGCGCCTCCTGCGCGGCAGCATCCACATTCAATGGCGGATACAGCACGCTGTGATGATGCAGTGTTCCAGCGCCGACGCCGCCATTGGCATGGCCCGGGAACAGGGCGGAGCCGGCGGGCGGCGCGTGACGCGCCTGAATCGGCGAGTGGGTGGGACTGAACTCGGAGCTGTAGCTGTAGCAGCTGCTGTGCGACGCATCGCTGTTATTCCGGCTCAGCGACGGCGTGTAGGGGGCGTGCCGTGACGTCAGCGGCGACTGCGACGGACTGCTGTGCGTGTAGACGGAATGTATGGCAGAGTCGGGACTGGGATTGGCCGGCAGCAGCGGCAAGTGGCCGCCGCTGCTCGACTTGCTGCGATCGCAGAGCGACGTTGTCGAATTGGATGTGGCAACTGGTTCATATTTCAGATTAATCGGATCACTCTGGGTGGGCGCCAGCTTCAGCTTGTAGCCCTGCTGCTGCTTGTGGCTCTGCAGTTGCTGTTGCAGTTGCTGCTGCTGCTGCTGCTGGTGCTGCTGGTGCTGCTGATGCTGCTGTAGCTGCTGTTGCTCCTGCTGTTGCTGCTGCATCTCGCCGGCAATGTGCTCCAGCTCCGTCTTGATGGGCTGCAGGATGGCCGTGACAACGCCCCCGGCAGCACTGCCCGACTCGCTCTTCACAACCGTCTCCGTTTCCATGAGCTCCTCGTCGGGCGGCTCCTGGCCGTTCGTCTCGCCGTCACTCAGCTCGCCCTCCCAGGACATGGGACGTGGCCCGTTCTTGTCGGCCGCTCGCCTACGCACCTTCAGATTCTCAATGTTGGCCAGCTCCGCGTCCGAGTCGGATTCGTCCTCCTCCTTGTTGTTGTCGCCGCCGTCGCCGTCGTCGCCGACTCCCCCTCCCAGCGGTATGCGCAGGCCATGATTGTGATTGTTGTGATTATTGTGATTGCTATGATTGTGATTGTGATTACTGTAGTTGGCGATGACCGGCACCAGATTCCCATTCGGCGTGGGCAGCTCGTCCAGCTCGCACTTGATGTTCGTCACAGAGACATTGTGACGCCCAGTGGGCGTGGACATGTTAACGGGCAGCTGATAGCTGCCGCTGGCACCTGGAGAAACGCTTTGCTCCGTCTTAATGCTCGACATATTGGGCATCCTTGATGGCTCAATGGGTATCCCTAATCGAGTACCTAATTACCGTAAACTCTTAGGCTGCTTTTACTTGTGCAATTTGTAGAAATTGGAAAGATGTCGTTGATGCAGTTCCATTGTGTTGTAAATCTGCAAGAGAGGAAAATTTAGGCATTAATATCTTAAATATATTTTATAAATATAATTGACATTCCACTCAACTGATTTTATATCAATTTATTTTTTATGTATTTAGTTACTAAGTTAGATAGGTTATTCCAAAATGTTTCCCATTAATTTTAACAGTTACATCTGACATTTTCGAAAATTTTCTATAAGATCCCACATTATGTAGAATAACTATAGTTTTTGCTTTCCCATTCTTATACTTGTTATTGTATATAGAGCGTTCTGTTCATCAATATATCGGTTGTTCAATCCATCAATATCCACCGGTTTTTATAACTCTGCATACATAAAAGTTCAACTTTGCCTTTTCCATAGTTATAAACAGTTTTACCAATTCAGAATGCTTAAATAGGTTAATAAAAAAATCGACTCATTTAAAGTTTATAGTCTGCAGAAACAAAAACCCTTTGGTGCAAAATGAAAACCTGAATGAGTCTCCGATAGCAATAAAAAGCATTATGTAAACCCTTTTCAAGCCAAAGAGCTCCATACATGAATCACAATTGGTGAGCTGTACATAAAAGACAGTTTTGTTAACATCAAAGAGAGATTCAGTATAGAGAATGTCTATCTAGCTCTTTTACTCTTTGTGGACGTGTACCATGTAGTAGTTTGCATACTAATTTCGTTACTATGCGAATTATTATTATTACTCACATAGAGAATCATCATTCAATAGAGATTTTCAACGAACGCTGCCTGCTCCCCACTCAAACCGACGACGACCTTGGCCTCTGCATGAGTCTGAGGCAGAGGCGAGTTATGCTAATTGGAACCGCGACATGTGTACTATACACACGCACACATTCAGAGAGACAGTTACTACACTGTCCAACGTAAAATGGCGCGCTTGTTATCAGCGGCGAACACGAACAATAGCTTAAAGCAAGCAGCAGAACAATAGCGCCAGTCGACGAAAAATGTCAACGACCTTAAAGCGAAAGAGGCGAAAAAAGCCGATGGAATATTATAATAAAATTTAAGGTACATTAACCCAAAACCGAACGAACGCTCGGCCGGCAGCTGAAAACGTTTGTTGGCTATGAGAGAAGGGCGCGGCCCAACAAGTCCACTATAAAGGGCCCTGCAAATGACACTCCTGGGAGAAGGTGCGGAGGGGGGGTTGGACAAATGCTTTTCACTTTTTGGCATATTACTGTTAAGTGCAAATGTGGAATAAATTGAGTGCAGCTGACGTCGACCACACTACAGGCTAATAGGAATCTTTTGTTTAGCCGGTACAACAACCCAGCAAACGCAGCGACTAAGACGCCAACCGGCAACAAAGACAGAGAGAGAGAGAGTGAGAGAGAGCGAGAGCGAGCACACACGCAAGCAAGAGAGCGAGAGCGACCGCGAGCGCAGAATGGGCAAAGGACGACCTTCAAATAATGTTGAAATTTGTACGCAAACGACCTTGTATACAACAACAACGAGAGACGACGACGAAGCAACCACGAAGAAGACGCAACGACGACGGCGACGGCGAAACGAAGCAGGGCAGTCAAACTGTTCATAAGCACACACACACACAGAAACACAAACACACTAAAGGCGCAACACATGCGCGGGCAACGAAGGCGCGGGTGAGTCGTCGTCGTCGCCGATGTCGACGTTGTAAAGAGCGGAGAGCGCAAAGCCATGCGACGAAGGAAAGAATAAAAAAAACTCAGCGGCAACTACAGCCGAGGGGGCAGCGTGTGCGAGTGAGAGCAGCACAAAAGAAAATAAACAAAAATTTTGATATCAAGAGCGACGCTCGGTGAGTTGCGCGGCGAGCGAGTAAGCAAGCCAGCAATCAAGAATAATTCTCGTAGTTAAAGTTGTGTGGGTGCAGAGAGGTCACAATGCGAGAGAGAGAGAGAGAGAGAGCAAGTGTTAGTAGGCAGACCGAAATGCTGACCAAGCAGAGAGCGTGCTAATGAAATATCGTGAGAGGGGCAGAGAGCAAAGAGCGTGAAGTGGTCAGGCGTTGTTGTTATTGCATATGTATGTGTGTATATTTTTTTTTAGGGAAATATACCAATGAATATATTTGTATATTAACGTGTATGAGAGTGTATGTTTGTACTTGGGATCCGACAAATGCAGCCAAGCGATTTGATGATGGCTCGTTTCTGGTTATATGTAAGAATAGACGCGCACACACACACACACACACACATACATCGACAAATATACACATAAACATACTTTCAGCTAGAACTGTACCTTGTTAAACGAAGTGGGAGCCATTGATTAGTGCGGAAGTGCTAAATGTAACGGTCGCTGGCCTTTACCATAGCTGAATTTGATTTAACTTCTCAATTTTGGTAGTTGAATGTATTATAGACAAACTAGTATTTAAATACCAACATTCTAATTTATTTTATTGTTGTTTGCTTATATTAAATTATCGAAGTATCAAACCCTCTAAGACTTGGTGATGCTCTGCATCACCTAAAGTTATGCATTTTTAAGATCATTAATGTTAACTTTACTTCAGACACTTATCCGTACTCTAACTAGATGGTAGACATTCCACACACTCTATGTATTACGAGTAATTCATTAAAAAAAAGAAAACTGAATAAAAAACCACAAGCCCCAGGCATTACGACAAACGCCCCCATTTGAACCACCTTTCCAATTGAGACTGTCAAAGTTATAGCCATTTACTCGAGTCATAATCTAATTACGTGTGTATGTATTATGTCTATACAAGTCTCGATGGCTGGCACAGCCTTTGGTCGTATCTCTTAGCCATGACATATTGCCAACTGCATGCCAAGAGATACATATATAATTTTTTTTACAATTTGACAAGCCCCTGAAAAAGAGCATAAAGCACAAATGGCATTCCGAAAAGCTTGAGGGGAGGGCGCCAAAGGGGGCATTACTGAACTGAAGTTGTTGCTGTTGACCGAGAATCGTCTGTGCTAGGAATGTGCAACGGGTTGGGCAACGACTGCCCCTGAGCTCTACGGGCGACTTGTCAGCCGCATATCGATTTTTATCAGCACAAAATGCTTTTGACTTTGACAGTTCACAGAGATGAAAAAGAAAAAAAAAAAAGAATAAGTAAAAGTATGCACGGAGGCAAGTAGAAGACTAGGTGATACCCCTCACTCTTAGTAGGGAAAATAAATATTGAAAAATTATTAATATAAGGCATTAATAATAATATTAGTTGATTCTAGTTTTGATAATCCCTAAGATATGATATAAAATATCAAATTCACAAGAATTCAATCTTAAAGGCACTAGTCAAGTATTGTGAACCTTTTCCATTTCAACTAATTCAAATATGTTCAGTTTGTGGTTTATCGATAACGCGCTATCGATAATTAAAAATAACTTTATCTCTATTGATTTCTAGTTTCTCAGAAAAGAACTTTCCTACACTAATAGAACGAAAAGTTAATGCTGATTAATGCCGACAAACCAATGCACACAATCAATATACCCCACATTAATTACCCTACTTGCAATAGGTTCTGGGCATGCTGGGGGCGCAAAAAAAAACACAACTTCAACTTGCTTTACAGCTCCTGCCAGACAAAAGGGTTGACCTTCACATTACAGCGTTTTGTTTTCCATATACTTTTCTTTTTTTCTGTTCTTCTCTGTGGCGGCAGGCGTTTGGTCTCCTTTGGGTTTTCCCCCATTTTTGGTGGAGTGAAACGCGGAAATGCTGCCGCCTAACAAAATGGCGACGCGCTTGCCGTTTCCATTGTCATGCTGGCTGTGTGTATGTGTGTGTGTGTCTGTGTGTGTGGTAAATCCATGTCAATAATATTCACGACATTGACATGCTTTGTGGGCCAAAAGCCCCGGTCGGTCGAGCCAGTCAAATGGGGGTTGAGTATCCAGGAGCCAAGCCCCGGCTCAAGTTGTTCCCGGTGGTGTTGGTGTTGGTGGTGGTGGTGCTTTGGCATTGACGCTGACGCCGACGCTGACGCTGACGTTGACGTGGACGTTGACATTGTTGTTGTTGCTGTTGGTGCTTTTAGGCATTTGGGGAGTTTGGAGTTTGGAGTTCGTTGTGCCCACTGAATGGGAAGTTGGTTTCAATTATGCGTAACATGAAAGCGTAAAGCGCATTTAATGGGGGAAAAATTTCCATTTGGAAGTAGGGTGCTCTAATTGGAGAAAATCGACCCTTTCTCTGAGACCCCATCGAACAAAAATGCTGTACAACGCAATTGTTTAGGGGTTGCTAAGAGGGAGTAAAAACAGAGAGAGAGAGAGAGAGAGAGAGAGTGTGAGAGACAGAGAATGAGTGAGAAGAGAGACTGAGCACGAATTTGGCATTTCTGCTGGTCTGGCTGATAATGTGTAACCAGGAAGGCAGATAATGTTGTTATCTTGTGGGTGTTGAAAAGCTGTTGGGGATTAATTTGACAAAGTTAGACGACATGCAATACTCTGGGGTATACAAATTGGTCCCTAGTTCTGGAACTTTGACTTTTTGACATACTTTGACAAAAACTTTTCTACTATTAATAGCTCTAATGAATGAGAAAAGTCTATAAAAGTGTTCTTATAGGAAATACAGCTGTTAAGTTAATGTATGTATGCTCGTATGTTCCTGTGGTTTGTCTACTTCCACTTCTTTCACTCAAGCCTTAATAGATGCATTTGTACTTTGAAAAGTTCATTGTAGCTTTGACATGTACTTTAACATTGACTTCTTATAACAAACGATAGGGCATCTGCTTTGCAAATATCCCGTAGCCATATGATCAATAGTCAAATATTTATCCGTTGATCAAAGGTTTGTCAACTGGATAAAAAATAATATATAAGGGAAGTATTTAACCTCTGCTGTCAAATTTCTCTTAGATTCCATTTCCATGAAGCAAATTGCTCAGCTTATCAAAGACCCATCTAACCGTCTAGTCAATCATTCAGTCTTAGCCACATTCGATGCTTTGCAGGCCAACTGAGATTTCTAAACGTTTAGTTCCTGCCTAGCCTGT